TGGGCAAAACAAACCAAACACCCGAATAAAATTGTGTGAAGTAAAAGAATCAAAATATAGGATAGAAATATGTGCTTAAACTGTATTTTGATTTCTTTAACTACAAACAATTTTCCACCTCAAGTATTATGTTCATGCTTTATTTGACAGGAAATATAAAAGGCAATAGGGCATAGAATAAATACCCAGCTGAACATGGACAAAAGTTTCAGGTGATTTTTCTCCTTTTTCTTTTTTTACACATCAGTAACGTAAGCAAAATGTTTGGCAGACTCTGCATCTCTTCTCATCAATACCCATGAGGGACAGAACCTCTTATAAGATAAAATAACAATACAGGTGAAAGTGCTTTGTGAACATTAAAGAACCATAAAAGTGCAAAAGGGTTATTATTTCCATCAGCCTGGTGTGTCCTCGGAGAGCCACCTTGAGAGCTCTGGTGTTATTAAATCAACTCAGGAAGCCGAATGTGGCTGATGATCATGATCTTTAATACCCTTAAAAAGAGAGTACTTGTTGAGTAGGACCATCACTGCACCAACTTTCTAGCTCTACCTTTAAGCTCTTCACTGTCACTTATTCAGAAATATTGCTCCTTTCTCATCCTCTCCTTAAATGCACCAGGCTTTGCTTCTTCTAAGCCACTCCACATCCTGACCCCATGAGTTCTTGACTTCATGGAGTATAACTGAGCTTTCTCTCCACCCCACCACATCTATCTTGCTTCTTTCCGTGTCTGGTTTGAAACATGTCCATCACCAGTCAGCAGAGTGTATCATTTACACATATCCTGTTCCCTTCCTCTCCCCTATTTTTCTGGATGAGAAGGACCTGCCTCCATCATATCACATGGTTCTCATTAAAATGTGATTTAAAAAAATTCTTCTTACAAGAAGCCTTCCCTGTGTTAAGATGTAGACCACAGCTCAATTTTGACTATTGCAGAACCCAACTCTGAGCTTACGTGTTGATCCTCATGAACAGTAAACAGGTTTGTTGTGGTTGACAGTCAATGAATCACTCTCCAGTAAGTGTTGCAAGGAATTCATTAAATGACTGCAATAATAAGGCCATGGAAAATGATGTTATCAGAAATATGTTTTTACCTTGGGTGGGATTCAGTGGTCAGGAGGTTTTTACTTCTACTCTTCTTTGGATACTAGAAACATGTATTTTTTTTTTTACATGTCAGAATAAAAGACCCTTTCTCTTGGAATATAAAGAAAAATCCTTACCAGAGCCCATCCCATCAGATGATACTTCATTTGCCAGCAAATAAACTGAAATAACAGTACTTTCTCTGAGCTTAGCCACTCTGGCCTTCCTGCCACTTTTTGAACATGCCATAATCTTTCCTGACCCAGGTTTTGGCAGGCTGTTTCTCCAATTGCTCCAAATAATTCCTAATTAAATTTATAGTTGAACTCAGATGCCACTGACACAAAGAAGCTCTCTCTGACACCTTGAACCAATCCCTGTATATGCTCTGCTGGAGCCCTTCATAGAATTGGTATAACTGAATGAGCACTCAAGTGATTAATTGGGTCATATGCCTTTCTTGCTAGAACATAAACTATATGAAGTCTGAGACTACCACTGCCTTATTCCCAGCTGTAATTGCAGCACCTGGCATTATGTTCACACAGTAGGTTTTCAATAAATTGGATTATAATATACCCGAAAAAGTGAATTCCTTACTGAAAGAAACAGTGACAATGATGATGATGAACCACCTGCAGGTGATTTTTGATAACATTCAGGTACTGATAACATTCAGGAAGTGTTGACAAGGTTCTAAAAACTGAATGAGCAATTCTCAATTCTCCTTCTGTGTAATGAGTTCCTCTGCAATTCCTCTCAAGCTTATTTTGAAGTCTTTGACTGAAAAAGTAAAATATCATGACTCTTCATTAATGATTCATTAATTTTTCTTCTGTGTTGCATCAGATAGATTATACAATTGGGGGCTTTTCAATGAAGCTAAATTTTACCTTGCATAATAAATTCCTTAGTCAAAACAAAAATTCAGCCATAAGAAACACTCAGAAACTTGGAACTAAATCTCTGTGGAAATGGGATTTTTCCCCTGGGCAAAATGTTTATACATGGTATGCATCTGCTAACTGTGACTCAGACATGAATGCAGAAAGCTTACACAAAGTCTGATATAACACAGATGAAGGAACAGAAATGCATTTGCTAGTATGTCTGTGTTTTGGGAGGAGAATATTACTTGGTTTAAAAATTATTGCTTGGTTTTATTATTGTGTACATCAGTTTCACCTATGAGCCATTAAATTTGATGGCCATAAACAGTAACACATCAAAATAAAAGCTCCTTGCACAAAAGCAGCAAAACAAAGTAATTCCATTGACTCTCTGTTCTAGGATAAAGAATGAGAGTATATAAAACTAGACCTGTGACTGGGTTTTAAAAATCCCTGTGCTCACCAATTCTGTCTTGTTCCTGTTTGCACTTCCATGTCCTCTGCCTTCTAGTCCTCTTTACTTATTCTGGGAGAGGTTAGAAAGAATATTTTCTCATATATCTTTTTCTGTCTCTGCAATGAAGAAAAGATGAGATTTTAAGTCATCAATAGGACTTTGGACTGTAAACCTGACCTTTATTAGCTTTATCTTTACTATGTGAGGTTCTAAGCCTACAGATGTGTGCTTTATTATATGATATTCAGTGAACACTTTCAGCAATTAGGGCAGTAGGTGAGCCAGGAACGCAATGTCTTTGTTCAGGTAAATGACATTTGACTGGTTAATTGCGGAGGACAACTCAAGAAGGAAAAACTTTGAAATAAAAATGAAAGACTGATTTTGTTAAGAATATAGAAATGAAAAATAAAAGGTAATGTTTTACATGGTTATTTTGTTCTTAAGTTAGCTAAGAGTGTTTTAAGAAGTTGCATATCTATGCTTTGGGCTTATCTCTCTCTCTCTGCATTTTATTATTTTGTTAATTGTCACCTGAGAATATTTTTCCATTGATTTTTAAGAAGAGTGAAGAGAGAGGGGAAAACAAAGAGAAACACTGATGTGAGAGAAACATATTGATTGGTTGCCTCCTGCCTTAGCTCTGGCCAGGCCCTAGGCTGCTTTGGGTTTCTTAAGATCCATGTTAAGTTAGTAATGGGGAGGAATCCTACTTTTGAGGACTAAAATGTGCCAAATTTTAAACCCACTTGCCTAGTTCTACACCAGAGTGGATATTTGGTCATTATAATATTCGTTGCTATTATTGGTGATGTGACTACTGCTATGATTTTCCTTCCCCCATCTCAGCAAACACTGAAGGGAGGCTAACTTTTAAGGACTGAATTGGAAACTTACAGTTTAAATGGTGCATTTTCCCTACCTTTTATCAACAGAAATCTAGGGGGAGGGGGCAAACAAAAGATAAATTTTAAAAATTCCATTTCAGATGAATCAAAACAAACAAAAACAAGCAACAAATAACTGCCACCATCCCAATCCCTAAACTTTAAGGTGTGGCTTCCAAGTACTATTTGTCTGGACTAAGATCAAGGAGGAACTGAGAGCCAACACATAACTCTGAAGGTCAAATAGGATACAGATTTCTCCAAAACTATCTTGAAAGAAAATGTGAAGTGTATATTGATGAACTACATGAGCATGGATGGTGCATGGGGTGACAAAAGAATGTTGAAATAGAGAGCCAGTTTTTACTGTGCAATGGAGAGAAAACAAATCTATAGAAGATCAATTCCTAGCCTATGGTCTCTCAGTGAAGAGTCAGAAGTGAATTGAGTTGAAAGAAATTTGTGATGAGACAAGAACATTTCATTTAAGTCATAGTTCACTAAAAGAGAGCTTACAAATCTTAGTATATTGTAAAGCTATATAAATAATTTATGACAGAAAGTTTTGGCTCTAACAAGTCAGATAATTATTCAAATATAGCGCATACACACACACACACACACACACACACAAAAACAAAAAACAAAAAACACTGAAAATAAAGTACCTGTGCCGGAAACTGATCACTGTCAACAACCTTAATTGCTCTGAAAGGTCAAAGCTAGTTCGCTCACTGCTTAGTTGAAACATTGTTAGCTGAAGCAGCCTCCATCTCTGTTGTCTTATGTAAATTTCTGTTACTGGAATTTCCTGCCTAAGGGCTATGGGTATTTCCCATAATCTCAATAAAAGGGGTAGCAAGGCCAGAGCAGTGGATAGTCTTCCCACTAGAGGTGGGCTTCCACCCGGCCCCCACTATCACCAAATCAATACTTTTCTAGTCTCTTTTCATTTGTGTGCGGCCTTCTCCAAAACCCAAACCCTGAGCGGGAACGCTGAACCACGTGGGACATGAAAGGGGTTCCTACATACCTGTACTTGGGAGAGCATGAAATAAATTATCATTGCAACAATTCACTTTCTACATACCATTCTACCTCTCAGTGAAGGTTTGATTACCACATTACTGGTACATGCCAGGAAGTTGTGATTTCTTTCTTTCATAACAATTCTTTTTACATTAATAACCAAATTACAGAGGAAATCTCTGAATTTAGCACTTAGTTCCTGCTATCTTGTTGACAGTCAGCCAATTCTCCCTCTGGGGGCCACACCGAGCTGAGAAGTAAATGAAGGCTGGTAGTCAGAGGTCCCAGACCCAGCAATTGTTAAATAATTTGATTATCACCCTATTTTCTTATAAGAAGTAAAACATCAGTGCAATTTCAAAGGATAAAATATGTACATAATTTTATTCAACAATTTACATTATGCTACAAATATGTACAATTTCAACAATAAATTAAAAATAAATGTTCATTTACATCAGGTTACTCAATGCCATTTTTCTGCCTTCATTTCTAAGAGTTCAACTGATGCAAGATTCTGATCATCTTCTTGCTAGAAAAACTTGCTTTGGCAGCACACTGGAAATGCAGTGTTTCAGTGCCTCTGAGCAATGGGAAAGTGTTTGTAAATAACAGAAATGCTAAAGAGGATCACTGCAATCAGGAAGTGTTGATGAACATTTGCACAATATTTACAAAACTTCGCAAAAATTCTTTTACATTTTTTTCCTCCAGTTCCTCACATTCTTTGCATCCAGATTCAGTTATAGTCTGCAAAATAAACAGAAAGGATTAGAATGGAAAGTCTGGTGTATTTCTTTCCTGGGAATATAACATCGTTCAAATCATACAGTGAGGTCGTAAGATGTGAAAAATTGAGCAAGTTAATATCATATTAGAAAGAACTGAGACATTTGATGTGGGCTTATTTTTATAATGGATAAAGGACTTTGACAAAAGTAAGCCATGTCTATCAGACTATGGACTCTCTACTTAGAGCCTACAATGGTTTCTGCTTATCCACTCTCAAATGAAGTCCATGCCTTCCAGCATAGCACACAGGCCTGCCTTACCTATTTCTCACACCTCTCCCCACTGTCTCAAACATTCTGCCCTAAGAACACTGAGTTTACACTTTTATCCCCATGCGGGCCATGCTTTTAGATGCCTCACTGCCTTTGCTTCTCTCTCTGTCTGTTCAATACTTCTTATTTCAGCTGAGATTACACACTGTCTGGACTAGGAAGTTTTTCCCAAACCTATGAGCTCCCGTGATTAGCCTAAATGTCCCATCAGGATGCCTGGTTTGGATTCTTCCTCACAGCGCATTATATATGACAATGACATTAGGGAGTTTTATGCTTTTTATACCACTATTCTTAAATGCTTCCAGGAGAGCACAGCCATGAAATTTTGTTTCCCTAGTATTTAGCACAGGGCTGTACACATAGTATTCATGAAATCATTGCTGGTTGAATTGAACTATTTAGGTGAATACCACAAATCCTTGTAATTCAAACATAGTTTCACAGATAACTAAAATATTTCAAATATAGCAGTCATAAATACACTTTCTGAGATCAGCTGAACCATGAAAGCTCTACCAGCAAAAAACAAAATTAGATTCGATATCCATTAAGCACTTGAAATTCAGATTCACCAGTATTTATCAAGCACAGATTCTATGCCAGGCACTGTCATATTCCATATAACGCTGTCTGATTTAATCCCAAAAATAATCATGTCAGATAGGAAAGCAGAGGCATTAAATGACACAGCTCAGTTGACATAATCAGTAAAATTCTCCACATCCAGGTCTTTTGACTGTGCAGTCCCACCCACTCTTTCCCCTACATGTGCCACACTATGCCATGATGAGGGTCACTATGAGCATTGCATAAGAGAGCTGACCATTGATATTGTTATGAATTATTTGTTGCATGACTCAGTCTTTCTACCAATAAGATAGAAGTGACACATCACAAGACTATTTTAAACATTAACATATTCTGTTCATAAATATATTGAGCAGGAAGTATATGCCAGGCATTGTTCTGGGAGTTGGGATCCACCACTGAAAAACAAACAAACAAACAAAAAACACACAAAACCTGCCCCTTCGAAACGGACATTCAAGTGGAGGAAAGCAGACAATATTCATTAAGTAAAATGCACAGTATGTGAGAGAGTAGAACATGCAGAGAAGGGGACAAAGCATGCTGACATAGACATGGACTGCAAACTGTAAAGTGGTGACATCACCGAGAAGGTGACATTTAAGTAAAGACTTAAAGCAGCCTGGAATTCTTAGGGAAAAATCCAAGGTGTCCAGCCACACAAGCTTAGGCTCTTTGCACTTAAAGTTCTCTCCGCCTGAACATACATCCCCAAGTATCCTTAATGGATTTAATGCTCATTCCCTTACATCTTTGCCAAATGTCAGCTTGGTAGGCAAGCCTTCTCTAAATAGAATCCCAGTGCCTTTAGCTGCCTTCTTTTTGGCCATTGGATTTAGTGAGTAACTGATGTATTCATTTGCTTATTGATCAATTTACTTATGCTTCCCCGCTCCTTAAGAGCAGAACCCATATGTGTTTTTTCACTTCTATTTTCCTGAAGGCTTACAATGAGGCTCAAAAAGTATTTATTTATTTATTTATTTATTTATTTATTTATTTATTTATTATGTCTTCTTTGTTCATAAAACTTCTTTCTATCCACTTTGCTTTGGCCACTAGCGTTTTGCCATGAGAGCCATAATCTGTTGTACCTTCTGATCTTCCAGCCATAATCTGTTGTATCTTCTGATCCCCCAGTGTTTGCCTTCCTGGAACCCCACATTGCTTATGTTGCCTGAGATAGCCTAAATTATTCATATTTAATACTCAAATTGTTCATATTTTTACTATTATCCTTTTACAGCACTTATAAGAAGACAGACTCTGAAATGAAACTGCTGAATCCTGGCTGCCTGTTTTCTTAGCTGCATGAATTGGAAGAAGTAATTCAAGCTCTCAGTGCTCCAATTTCTTCAACATTGAAACAAACAAGGATAACTATCTCATAGATTTATTGGAAGGACTCGGTGATTAACCCCTGAAGATCGTGTCTGGTGGAGTAATAATCCAATAAACATGGGTTATTAGTATTCATGCCAAACCCTTAATTATGTGGAATAATGTCTAGCTGCTGCACCTGCTGATAAAAACCAGTGACCTGACTGGTTCACCACTGTAATCCTAGCATCGAAGCACACTGCCTGGCACCGTGCAGCATGCGTGTGTTGAATGAATAAGTCAATGAGCAGTTTAGGACCGTGTGCACCCTAGTGATGCTGCCATCCTGGATGCCTCTCCACGGGAATTAACTCCCGCTCCTTCGGAGGGACTGCTTGTCCATTCTATCCAGCTCATGACTTCCCTCGGTCAAGACAGAAACATCGCCTTAATTGTACGACTATTAGTAACTCACCCCGTTGGATGGTAAACTGGAGTTTGCTAGGAAGACAATGTTTCCTATAACCTCTCTAATGTCGTTATTTGACTCCTGCCAAATAACGCATAACTCCAGGAGAAAGCACTTCATCGCTGTGACTTTGCAATTGGGCTGAAAATAGAGTTACAAAGAACCACTTTGAGAAACACATTATTTTCCCATTTTTCATTTTCACATAGATACAACTTTGATGTTTATAAAAAGTTAATCCAAATATTTCATAAAGAAACACAATACCCCTAATTTTTTTTTTTACACATAGGAAGCAGCTTGATTTTTTTTTTTTTTTTTAGCACTGAATTGAAACCAAAGCAAACTGCTAACAAAGCAATCAAGGAGGATGGTGATATTGTGCAGAAGAAAGGATGATACTGGAAAACATGGAAATCCTAGGCCACCTTTACTCACTGAGCACAGTTTCTCTGTGTAGAAGGGTGAGAATACTGTCTGAGACTTTGAAAATACTAATATCTATAGTGAAAGAACTTTTAGGATCAGGTGGTACTGTTAATATTTGAAATAGTAGTAGTAGTTGTCAATCATGCTATTCCTGCAAGTTCCCAAGTTTCAGAGGCAGATGGGATTCCAGGAAATTTATTAGAAAAACCAAAGCAGGGGTAGTACCTGGTTGGCCAAATCAGAAAAGTACCTTCTAGCCGAAACTGGTTTGGTTCAGTGGATAGGCTCAGTCGGCCTGCGGACTAAAAGGTCCCAGGTTCGATTCCGGTAAAAGGCATGTACCTAGGTTGCAGGCACATCCCCAGTAGGGGGTGTACAAGAGGCAGTTTGATCGATGTTTCTCTCTCATCTATGTTTCTAATGCTCTATCCCTATCTCTTCCTCTCAGTGAAAAATCAATAAAGTATATTTAAAAAAAAAAAAAGTACCTTCTAGGTACCTCAAAAATATGTTTTCTACCTTAACAAAAACTTAAACTGAAAAGAAAAGAGGCATTTAATGAACACCTGGGGATTTGCCTCTATGATGCTTGACTCCATGAACTGCCCAGTGCTGAGATCTTGCAGGCCCTGAACAATGCATACTGCACAGGTGAATAGAAGTAAAACACACTCATGTGCCTGGCACTGGCAACACAATGTCATTCCTTTATTGGTGGTTTTGATTTCCATAGTTTCAGTTACCCGTGGCCAATCACAGTCTGAAAATATTAAATGGAAAATTCCAGGAAAAAACAATTCATAGGGTATGGCTCTATGATCCTCCTGACATATCATCATAAGGTAAAAAGTAGCCTAATAATGCTCAATTTCTTCACTTTGTCTGATCACAGAGGCATTGTATATCTCACATCATCATAAAAAGGGTGAATACAGTACATTAAGATATTTTGGGAAGGAGACCACTTTATACAACTTTTTTTTACAGTATATTATTGTAATTGTTGTAGTTTGTTGTTATTTATTGTTACTAATCTCTTACCGTGCCTAATTTATAAAATAACTTTAGCATATATTTAGGTATGTACAGGAAATAATAACAAACTAGAACAATTACAAAAATGTACTTGTAAAAATTATACAAATATGGTCTTTCTCTCTTTCTCTCAAACATTGTATATATAGAGTTTGGTACTATCCATGGTTTCAGCATCCACTGGGGTTTGTGGAATGTATTGTGTCCCCCATGAATAAAAGGAGACTAATGCATTCCTTTCCCCACAAAGCAGCTGTGTGGGATCAAAAGGACAAATACTATCACCAAGATGGTAATAAAATAAGTAATAAATAAAATCTCTATATATAAAATCCTAATATGCAAAGTGTCCCCTCAGGAGTTCATTTGCTTGCTATGACATGTGCTGACCAGGGGGCAGCATGGAACAAAGGAAGGTCCCAGCCAGCACCAGCAGCTAGGGACCCTACCATCCATGAATATGAGCCTCTAGTAGGATAATAAAAAATAAAATCATGGTTCAGACCCAGGTAACACAGCTAGGAAGTGGCTGAGTAAGGATTTAAATCTCAATGTCAGTCTCAGCTTCTTTCTACAACCCAAGAGTTGGAAGGTTTAAAAAAGCAACTTCAGGATGCTGAGAGTTGGTGGTTAATTGACTACTGTCTACTTTGAATAAATGCAAAAAAATGGAAAGCATGCCGAAGTCAAAGGAGGGAGACAATTTTTGTGAGCACTGCACTATCTAAATGGTCGGTGAATATCTATTTTTCCTAGTTTCTGGCTATGGCTTCTTTCCAATAGTACTTAGAAAGTCCTGGAGGGGCAAACCCTTCTATTTCAGGGAAGTTCTAATTGAGAAATAATAAAAGGGACTCACTATTCTGAACAATACATTGACATAGTTTGTTTTCCATGAGGTGCAGAAGTCAAGGAATTGTTTCTTGATTTTTAGTAACCAATCAAGAAAAGGAACAGCAACATGCCTGAAGTCATATATGCCTTGGACAATACCAGAGTATTTATGTAACAAGTTCAATATTATTTTTTAATTCTGATAGGTTTTCTGTGTTGTGTTTGTTTCTTTTCTCAGAGAGAAACCAGCCAGAATCCTTTTCTGACTACTGTAGAGATTCATGCAAAATGTGGGTCATAAATGCATTTAAGCAATTTGTAGAAAATATGACTAAAGATGGTAATATACTACAGCAATGAAGCAACTTATATGTTGGATACTTTTAAATTAAATCAGTTAACCTGATTCTTGCATTTAATTGCATCACAAAATTATATGATATATTTTGTTTGACATTGATGGAAAAGGCTTTTATATTGTACCAAAAAAGCACCTATGTGGTTCTTTGTTCCAAAGCCCCACAATCTCAACAATTACTTATAAAAATTTATTGATTATATAAGAAAACACCAAAATTTAGATTTTAGAACTACATATTTTAGTAAATTTATAAAAATATACTTTTTAGAGTTTGAAAACTGGAAAATATAGCAATTTTGAAATAAAAACTATACTCACCTGAACATCACTTTCAGTATATAAAGTGGCATCAATATGTATAGACTGAAAGGAGAAAAAAGTAAAAAATTATGCACTGCTTTAGATATGAGAACAACCTACTGACAATATTAAATTAAGCTTTTTAAATTAAATTCTTTGAGATAATTTTAGACTTATATATAATTATAAAAGAAATTACAGTGAGAGCCTGTATATCCTTCACCATTTCCCCCCAATGGTAATATATTGCATAACCACAGTACAAGATTACAACCAGAAAATTACATTGATGCAATGCACTCACCTTGTTCAAATCTCACCATATTTATGTGCAGTAAAGCGTGTGTGCATGTGTGTGTGTGTTTGTGTGTGTGTGTTGTTCTGTGCAATTGTATCAGTGGTTTGTATATCAGTTATTATATTTTCATTTCTGTAATTTCTATTTGGTTCCTTTTATATAACGTATTACTCCGCCAAAACTGATTTTTAAAAAATATATATATATTTTATTGGTTTTTTTTTTTACAGAGAGGAAGAGAGAGTTAGAAATATCAATGAGAGAGAATCATAGATCAGCTGCCTCTTGCACACCCCTTACTGGGGATGTGCTCACAACCAAGGTATATGCGTTTGACCGGAATCAAACCTGGAACCTTTTAGTTCACAGGCCAACACTCTACCACTGAGCCAAACCGATTTTGGCGCCAAAAGTGATTTTTTCAGTTGTTTCAAGAATATCTGTAATTGCTTGTGGCTGCAATTTTATGATGTTGCTTGAAAATCCTTGTGTGATAATTCTGACATCTAATCCATGTCAGTTTCAGAATGTGTTATCTTTTTTTCACTCAAGTTATAATTTTTCCTGCTTCTCAAAATGTTGAGTGAATTTCAATTTTATTCAGGTACTTTGGCCATTACATTAGGAGACCTTGGTCCTATTTAAACATTCTAATTTAGCCTGCAGTCACCTTGATTAGTTTTAGCCTGTGGGGTCTGACCTGTGTGCTTTGATTCCAATGAAGTTCTGTTTTCAGAATTTTTGTTGTGCTGATTTGGAAGGGTGGCTCACTTCATGCCCCTGGGACTCCCTCAATCCCTGCTGTCACCCAGTGGGACAGAATACACTTCATTAAACACAGTTGTCAGAGGCTCCTCTGCCCCTACACTCTGTTCGGCTATGGGGCCAGTGGGTGACGGTAGGTTGGAGAGGGCTTCTCTAGCCCACAGACAGACAGCCTTTCCCAGGGTCAGGCTATTCCTCTTGCTATTGCCCCAAAGATGTCTGGTTTCTCTAATAGAAGAAGGGAATCTCTGGGCTGTTGTGACAGAGAGCTCTTCATGCTGGGCCTTTCATAAATTGAGTTTAAAGATAATTAGGATCCAAAAATTGAAAATGGAAGATGTCAATTGAGGTTCTACAAGGCCCATTAATTTCTGCGAAAATAGTATTATTTCAAGTGAGATTGTATTAAGATTGATAGCAAAACCCAGGGACAGGGCTACTCCCCAACAATTACATCAAATAGTTTACGGAAAATTCAGGACTTACTTGAATAAGATTTTCAAAGATTTCCAAATCCCTTATTACATCCTGCCAGTGTGCCTCTGTTTTGGGAAGACTTGCACTGATACAGCTGAAAGCAAAATCAAGAAGTAAAACATTTTTGAATGAACGTAATACTGTCATGATAAATACTAGTGGTAAAGAGCAAGCAAGAATGTTGTACTGATGAGTGAAAAGATGAGTGCTAGTCTTGCCTTCATGCATCAACATCCCTGTAGAGGAACAGGAACACTGAACACATAAGACAACCTCGTGATAATTTGAAGTTAATTTGGGGATTGACCAAGTTATGAAGACATAACATATAAAAACATGGAGAAATTTATTATAATGAATACAAATAGTACCTAATGTATGGTATGGCTCAGTAAATGTTTTTGAGTGAATGACTCTTTTTTTTTTTTTAAGTAGAGGTCCTATCAGACTTTTTAAGTCAAATAAATAGTAAAATGTTTAAAGTGAGCAATAATCACTTGATATAATGATTTTGAACTGAAATATTCTATATAGTACATTAAACATGCCCTTTGTATGCTGTGCACATCATTGCTATGCTTGCAGCTGCCTTCTCCATAAACATGACAGACTTTAAGCCCAATCTAAAGTTGAGTGATCATATACTTACTCATTTTGGTAAAACGGAAATTTTGAATCTGGACAAAAGACACGTACACTGACCAAATGACTATGGGATGATTCTGAAAGCACCACTAAAAATAGCTGCACCCTCATAGATTTTCATAGAAGCACTGAACCAACACTAATCCTTCTTGTGAGGAAGGTTTACCTGTGCAAATCTATCGGTTCCCCACACTGTGAGATAAAGGCTGACCTGAGTCAGACTACAGAGCTAGAGGTTGGGTGCTTAGGTCAAGCAGCGTGGCTTATTAGTTGTATCTAAGAAAGAAGGAAAAAGTTAATCGGCATGGAAAATACGAATGTTTATTAAGAGGAAAGACGAAAGAAAGAAAGAAAGAAAGAAAGAAAAAGAAAGAAAGAGAGAGAGAGAGAGAGAGAGAGAGAGAGAGAGAGAGAGAGAGAGAGAGAGAGAGAGAGAAAGAAAGAAAGAAAGAAAGAAAGAAAGAAAGAAAGAAAGAAAGAAAGAAAGAAAGAAAGAAAGAAAGAAAGAAAGAAAGGCTTCCAAATGAACTAGGATAGGGCTCATAGGATAGCAGAAGCCAGTGTCAGGAAATAGATTTTTAAAAAGCGTGACTGAATCCTAAATATCTATTTTGTTACAGCCATGAAAATCATGCAGGATATTAATAAGGAAGGTACTTTCAAGTGTAGTTATCTACCAAAAGATCCATTTTATCTGCAGAATGTTAATATTCTTCGAGATCTTATTAGACTATAAAAATGGTCAATGTTTACCAAACTTCCAGAGTCTCCATAATCAGTCCTCTCTCATATCCCAAATACTGACTACCTAAAGTGTAAGCCGACTGAACATATACCTTTTCATAGGGAAGATAATGAGGAAGAGTGGCAATTAGCATGATGACATTTATGCCTAAAGATAAAATTACCCCCAAATGAAGACATGAATGCCAGCCTCAGTTAAGAAATGACTATTCAGAAGTAAACACAAATAGCACTGGATGGACGTACTCCTCAAATATGGTTTCTGGAAAAAAAAAGTCATAGAGAAAATGATTAAATGTTTTAGTTAAAAGGTAATATTAAAATTAGTAGTTTATCATATCTGTAAATCAAAATTTAAGAATTAATCTTCCTTTTCAGAATTAATAAAACTAGAATTTATCTGCTGTGATACCTGCCCTCCAGCTTTGTTTCTTGTGGGCAAAATTATTTAATATGTTTTTAATACATACCATTTTAAGAAAATGTACAAATCTAATAATATCACCACTAATTTTTTATTATCCTTAATCTCCTCATCCTTCTTTCATTTTTAAATAGTTCAACGTATTTTATGTAGCATAGATTAATAACAAAAATACTAACCTAGGTTTATAGTTCTAGATTAATTTCATGCAACTGTATAAAAATTAATTATAAATTAATATCATTTGGAGAACAAATTGGATAGAAATGGAAGCAACTGAAGACACTCAGGGAAAATAAGGGGGACGGGGGTAAGGGGAAGAGATCAACCAAAGGACTTGTGTGCATACATATGGGCCTAGCCAGTGGCCATGGACAACGGGGAGGGGGGTGAGGGGGAGAATGGGGGTGAGAGGGGGCAAATCTAGGGAGGAGTTTGAGATGGGAATGGGGGAATAAGGACAATTATGTGAGACCATAATCAATAAAAAAAAAACCTTTCTTGGTAATTTAGAAATATCACCTCTCTTAGGACCTCCCAGAATTTAGATACTTTTGTCTGCCTCTTCCATGTTGTCAAAGCTTTAGAATTTCAGATGGCAGTGTTGACTGTCACCTTAACCACTAAGACTCTGTGATTAATTTAGTCTATGCTGAAGGGATGAATAACAAACACCCATACTGCACAATTCACTGAAGATATCTATATTTAAAAAACAATAGAGTGAGGTAAGTGAAATAATACATTTACAAGCAAGACACAGAGAGTATATCAAGATTGTTAAGAGAGTTAAAAAACACATTATATTTACTTTCAAAATAAGAAAAATCCATGTGAGAACAGACATCTGTTACATCCCAAGATCTCTATAGAAGAGTCACATTATGAAATATCTGATATTTAAGTGACCTTTTAGAAAAGTCCATATACAGTACTATCTTCATCTAATTATTCTTACCGAAATTCTCATTACTCAATGCCCAGATAAAGCCTTAAATATTGAAGAAGAGCTGACTATGGCAATGAGTTTCCAGCAGCCATCCATCCAGAATACTTCCTATAATAAAATCCAGGGGAAATAATGATCCATTAAAAACAGAAATAAACTACAAGGGGTGAGGGGAAGAAAGGAAAGGGAATTAATATTTATTGAGCACCTATTTTTTCCCAAGGGCACTCTATTGGTCACTGAATAAATGCATCACATTTAATCCTCACAAAAATCCTATGGGGTAGGGTTAGCAGCATTTGGTAAGCCATCTGGGCCCCACAGCAAGTCTAAGATAGCCAAGATTAGAGACCAACCAATACATGATTCTCTCTCACCTCTCTCTCTCTCTCTCTCTCTCTCTGAAAAAAAAAAGTGTGTGTGTGTGTGTGTGTGTGTGTGTGTGTGTATGACCCATGTTGGTAAAAAACAAACAAACAAACAAAAAAAAAACACCTTAAAAGATAAACTATTCTATTCCTTTCTCTTTGTTCAGGACTCAATGTGTACTATTAATATAATTATTATCAATGATGGTAATATTAATTGGGTGGGCTATGTATTGCTTACCTAGTTCTCTCAGATTTACCAAATTATTCTCATGTACATTATCAAATTCAATCCTGGCAATATTGTTAATGTGGAAGATACTACTCTTATTTAACAGTGAAGAAATTGAGGTTCTGAGAGATTAAGCAGTTTGTGTCAGGAATATATCATGCAAAATATGATCTCACAATTCAGGTTGGACAGGGTGAGGAGGCATGCAAGGAATTTCACAAATTCTGTGGTTGGAAAGAGTAGGCTCCTTGCTGTACGAAGAACCTGGCCCACTCCAAGTGGATAATAAATAAAAAGCCACCGTCTCTGCTAGCATAAAAGCAGGTCTTCCAAAGCAGAACTCAGGTTCTCCCATGGGCATTATCTCATTTGACTCTCACCAAAAACCTGTCAGAGGGAAGTGGCTGAAGCCAGGTTCACTACTTTATGAGAGGCCAACATAGGGATGAAACACATTGTCACTTCCTTTGCTGCCATAATTTTTGAGAACTACAGAAGAGTGTTTAAGCCTGGCATACGAGTTGCATGTAGTCATAAAATTCCCTCTTAATCAGTATCATTTATTTGTCCTTCATTCACCTGGATGCCTGCAGCTGGGAATTACAAAAAGACTAAGTTCTAGTCTGACCCTCAGAGAGCTCACAGAGTTTAAGTTTTGGCAGTCCTGTGCCTGGGTCTCACTGCACAGTGCTTGTTGACCTGATAACTGGCACTGTGCCCAGGGGTCAACACAAGAAGAGTGGACAGGCACATCAACACATCTGGTGAGTTCTAAGAGCTTCAGTTCTGCAGTGACTTGTGAAAAGAGCTGTAAATATGGTACATTCTATACCAACATCATTGAATATCCCACGGAGAAGATATAATCTAACACATGCCTGTTTTGCTTTGTTTTATTCTCTTTGTTTACTTGCCTCATTGCACATGTAAAATAAATTCTCATAGACTTAACAACAAGAGTTCTAAATATAAGTTTAACGGTAGAGACATTTATCGATTCACTCAAACACACTAAAAATGAGGGCGAACCAAAATTGAATGTATAATATAAAGGATGTAAGGGAGTGTAGCTGTCCTTTATTGGAAGGTAGGTCGATGTGGAGGTATAAGTTCTAAACTACGGCTTTGGTTTTCCCAGTTAATTAAGACTAACAGTCATCAGCAGAGAGTGACGATGGGGAAGATGTGTTAAGGGTTGAGGACAGAGGAGAATGAAAGAAATCATCATCAGGGTAAGAAAGAGAATAAACTAAAATAAGTATGGAATGAGAGCCATGCCTATTGGAAGTTCGTGGTCATGAATGGCCAGGAGGTAAGATTAGTGTGTGTTTTCTCTAGCCACATTAAGCTGCAAGGAACAGGTAGGCCTGGAATAGGTAGAAAACTGGACTGAATCAGAGATCATAGCTGTGTATGCCAGGCAAGCGCAAGAAAGAGAAAAGCAGGGCCTTTAGCAAATATGTTAGGGGATGTAAGGGAGCTACGTTCATGGAATTTTATTTTCTTTTTATTATAAAACTTCGTGGAGGAAGTGATATTGGAATCACACCGTAAAGGATGGGCAGATTTTACACATGAGTTTTTAAAAGGAAACAACCTTCTAGTTGGAAGAAAGAGTTGAGCAAGAACATACACAAAACAGTACATTGTGTATTCAGAGAAAAGGCAGTCATTTGGTAACAGTCTGAAAGTAGTGGTAGGTAAGAGTGGACAAATCTGTTGCCCCTGTATAAAGCAGGAATTGGTAAACATTTTCTCTAAAGGGCCAGACAGTATTATACATCAGGCTTTCTTAAAAATAAATCTTTATAGGGTCTGTCCTGAGGATGTTACTCTGCTATTCCATTGTGAAAACAGCCATAGACAATGCATGAATGAATGGGTATGGCTATGTTCCAATACAACTTCATTTATCAAAACAGTTGGTGAATTTAACCCAGAGCTTATAGTTTGAAGACCTATGACGCCAGTGGGTCTCTTAATCAGTCCCATTTAAGTACAGCTGATAAACTGATACCTTCAGATGTCTCAGATTTTCCTGGCTGTAACTAAGGGTATTGGCATTTTTCAGTAATTGTGTTTATACTATTAATTGACACCCATATTATGAAAATGTCAAGCACAAAATTTTGTGAAATAATCTGTGTTCACTAGTAAGTTAAAAAATATATATGAACTATGTTACCATGGTTACTATAATACAGTGATTTTGAAAAAGTAATCCATACAAAGATAAGATCGGAAGTTGGTATTTAATGCTCTTGTAAAGCCACACACATGATAATAGAGCCCATAAATCTCTGCTTATCAAAAACAACAAAAGTAAATGATTAGGTAGGATGTTTCTTTTTTTAAAAAAATACAATTTCATACATGGTTTGTAAAATATATGTATTTTAAATATAAATTTTTAAGTAAAATGTTTTTCTTGGGAATACTTAAAACAATACAAATTGCTAAATTATACTAGAAAGTCTCCGAAGCAAATTGTACACATTTAAATATCTATAATGCCAAGGACAAAGGCAGTGATAAAATTTGGATAGCTAGGTTATTATGACTATTAAAAAATTTTTTGTTAAATAGGTGGTATCATAAAAGGTGAATAAAAAAACACCTCGGAAGTTTATCATATAAGATAGACAATGATGATGCATACATGTAGCTAGAGGGCATATCTCTTAGTATAGTTTTATGTAGTAATATGTTCATGTGCTTTAATTTTTTTTCCTTTTTCTATTGATTTTAGAGAGAGGAGGAGAGAGAGAGAGGAAAAAAACACATCAGTGTGAGAGAGAAACATCAATTGGTTGCCTCTCCCATGCACCTGGACTAGGGATTCAAACACACAACCTGGTACACGCCCTGTTCAGAAATTGAACAAGCAATCTTTTGGTGCACAGGATGACACTCAACAAATTAAGCGGTACTGACCAAGGCATGTACTATTTTTTTTTTTTAAATCATTAGGTGCAAACATTCTTGAAAAGGGTTTGTGGGTTTTTGAAAAATACTAGTTAGTACGCTTCTTAAGGCAGGTATAATGTGATATTTAGGGATCTTTGGGGCATTAAACAAGTTGACATTTAGTATATTTGGATCTAAGTACTTTTTTAAAACCTAATTCACTTATTTATTTTGCAAAAATGTGATATTCTTGAGGTTAGAAACCTTGTTTAGTTCGTTTGGTCCTATACCTCCAACACAGAAAAGTATCCACGATGCATGATAAGTGCATATCACATGTTTGTTGGATTTTATTTTTAATTTACTTATAACTACATTGTCCCCATTGTCACAACTATTAGCCTCTTAGCTGCACTTGTCTCCCTATCCAGCAGATGGCTCAGTTAGTCACTGTCATATCCTAAGAAGCACCCTGAATTTCCCCCACATATTATATTTCTGCTATATCTATTTTGCCAATTTCAAATTCCAAGCTACAAAGTATTGCTGGAACATTTATATGTACCATTATAATTATTACCTGAGATGCAACGAGTAATGGGCCTTTTCTATATATCACAGCTTTGCTCTTGCTGACATTCTCTACCACACGTTTAATATCAACTTTATTGAGATATAATTTCAAGATTATAAAATACACCCATTTAGGTATATGATATGCAGAAATTTGACAAGTCTATACATCCGTGAAAGCACCATCACCAACATGATTATAAACATCTATAATCAAATTTCTCTCATGCCAACTTGCAGTCACTGCATTCTCAATTCCCATCACGAGGGGCAGCCACTGACCTAACATACACCTTTCCAACCAGCAAAATGGAAGTAATCTCCATATGGAAAATAATGTGGGAGAAGTAAACTCATGTTAAGATTATTTAAAGAAGGTGAAATACATTCATGATGATTAACTGCAAAAATCAAAAGAAAAGTTTACTGCAGGAAAAGAAAACCCTATATATATCATTATAATTTCTGAACCAAAAGGAAATGACACTTAACCTATCTAATGGAAGGCCACGGTACGCAAAAAAGAAAATTTAAACAAAGGATGCACAGTAAAAAGTATACATAAAACATAATGTGGCAGTAGTTAGTCTACACATACATGTATACACACCCACACATGAAAAAATGGGATAAAATCTTTATCTGCTTACTAAATGACAGAGACTTAGATTGTGTTTTAAAAATAAAGAGAAAGACATGGAGATAAGTTTAAAATATGTCATTTATAAGAAATGGTACAAAAATAAAATGGCACAGACAACAGTATGGTGGTTACCAAAGGGAAAGGGAGGGGAGGAAGTAGTAAAGAATAAAAGGGGTCAAATATATAATAAAAGATCTGACTTTAGGTGGTATTCATACAATGAAATATACAGATGATGTATCATAGAATTGTACATTTAAAAATCTATATAATTTTATTAACCAATGTTATCCCAATA